GCCCTGGAACCCAGGACCCACCGAAATCGGCCCGGAACCAATAACTGGAAGCCCGGGGACCCAGAACCGGGAACCCGGGAACCCAGCCTGCCACCCAAATCGGCGGGAAACTTTCGCCAAATCTTTCAGCCTCCGCTAGGATCCTTTCGGTGCAAGCACTGATTGGGGAATAAGAGCCGATGTGCTGAACCAACACGGTCTCAGCCAGAAATGTTCTAAGAACATTTTGCTCGGCGGCGCCCAGGGAGGAAGTATGAAGGGGCGGGCCTTCTCAGAAAGCTTGGAAAGCCTCCGGCCTTCTGAAAAGTGTCTGAAGCTTTCTCCCAAAACACAAACAACTTCTCTGAAGGCTGGAGGGCGTCTTAGAAGCCCCGCCGCCTTCTGAGAAAACCTGCTCTTTCTCACTTCTCCCCAAAGCGCGTCGCCGACTCATGCAAAACACGAAAGGTCATTCGAACATTCTTTGGTGCACGTATAGGCAATCCAGCACGCTTCGCCACAGCTGGAAGGCAGTCCTCCGTACGAGAGCTGGATGGCAGTACTTTCCAACGGGCTATTGCATATTGATCGAACATCTGACGCCCCGATATTGCGGGGGAAGCGATGAGAACATAACGTTCCTGTCGTCGAGATCGTGCGTCGTCGCGCTAGCTCACTACTGCCACCACAAAGTCTGCCACCGTGCCTGGAGGCAGGTGTTGCACACTTCCAGTAACGGTTACCGATGCCACAAGTACAACTGATACTGTGACTAATGCTGGTAATACCTCCATCCATCGCGACATTACTATTATTATGACTAATACAACTATTGTAGGCCGTGCTCCGGCGACAGCTTGCAAGGCAATGCTGGTTACGTTCCATGGGAATGCTCAGTGGTGCCAAACCTGAAAGACTAACGTAACCCTGTATCGCCGTCCACTGAAAGTATTTGTATGATGGAATACATGTTGCGTCCATTGACCCGCAGACGCGCACAACAATGAGAGGATGCTCGAAATGGAAAAACAAACAATAAATGCAGACGACGATTTTCCGCAAGCATGTTTGCCGCGGGAAAAGGCTTCGCCGCGGCCGATCCGCTCTGGAGTGGTACCGCCCCCTGATGCCACCACCCCCTGATGCCCTTTGCACCCCGTGCTGCAAGAGCGCCCCATTTCTGCGCGCACCATGGCCAGCCCGCGAGAAGGCCAAGTCCGCGCAAGAAAAGAGAAGGCAGCTCGCGCCAGTTCCAACGTGCGAAAAAGCAGTGGACCGACGAAGCTGGCCTTCACTACGACGGAGTCGCGAGAAGGCAGGAACAGCCTTCACTCCGCAGCCGTGTCCAGCGTGCGAAAAAAGCAGTGGACCGACGAGCCTCACCGTCGCTATGAGGGACTCACGGGAGAGCATGGAAGCGCAGCCTAGACAATGCACCGCCGCGCCACTCTGATCTCGAAGAGCGCACCGCACATATCCTTGCGCCTCTGTCTTCTAACCCGTTTCAATATCATGATGCGCACCGAACTCATGAGCCCCGAATGCAAAGAGGGGCCTGACCCAGCTGAGGAACAGAACTCATGGACCAGATTGTCACTGCAAACTATCCCCGCGTGAAAAAAAAAATGTCACCCGTCCCTGAGCTCTGAAAGTGTGCAACTAGGCTTGGACCGGGAAGGATTGAACGGTCCTGAAATCCAACGGTGCGAAATAAATTGAAACATCCTACAAAACGACGACGGGAGCCTTAGACACTATTTTTGTTGGGCCATTTCCGAGTCGGATCGATATGTGAGGGCCCAAGGGCCCCCAACCAGGCGAAATCGCCCCGCTAAAACAATTGAGACGCCAGAATCTCAGAGGAAGGGCGAGGGGAATCCAAGAACGATGAAACATCCAGGAGCGTTTCAAATGTACCGGCCCAGCGGGCAAGAGGCGTTCCCGACCTGGGCACTGTGGGGACGAAGCGCGCCCTCTCTTCTGAAAGGGCGCGAGGTTGCTGGCATTTTTCCTATCTGGGGGATATCTGGGAGCTTTCTTGGGGTGCCGTGGGGATCCATTCGTTTGCAATGTATGGGCCTGTCGCCCTTTGGGAACGGACCTAAGGTAAATGGGGGGATTTCTTTGCTGCAAATGCATTAGCGGGGACCTAACTTAGGCTACGTCTTCCTTGTGGGATCAGGGTTGGGAGTTGCTATATTCTCGATGATCCATTGGGGCCTCTTTCGTTATCTTGCGGTCCCTCGAACCCACTTGGAGGGCCTCGGGGCCGCTTGGGCAAGGCGGTCCTGGGCCAGTCCTGGAACCCTCTCGGGACCGCCTTGGAGGACATCTCGGGGGCGTTGTGCGCCTCTTGGGCGCTCTTGTGTGCCATTCGTGCCCTCGTGGATGCACGCGCAGCAATTTCGTTCAACAAAAACTGACGTTCGCAAGTGTGCGGGATCTGGCTGGCTGGGCAAGCCGGGGGGGGGGGGGGGGGGGGGGGGAGCCAGCGGGGGGAGGGCAGCTGTGCATCCGCGCGCGCGCTTGTGAAGGGCGCGGGGGGCGGGGCGCGCCGTCGCGGACGACGCCCGGTGGCGCAGTCGACTCCCCCGCGCGCGCGCGCCGATCCGTTCATTCTTGGGCCACGGGATGGTGCGCCATGGTTGTGGATGCCATGACAGTGGACACTCTGACAATGGTATCATTGAGTTAACGATGTGTTGGCTATTTGTAAAAATTATCCCGGCAAAGCAACCTAACAGCGATATGTAGAAACATATCTGAAAGCATTCCCCTTCAGATTCAGATGAAAATCCAGTTGTAGAATTCTGCTGTTCTCGCAGTCGTAGTCGCGTTCGCGATGACAGTCGCAGCGGCAACGGCAGTCGCAGTCACAGCCTCAGCCTCAGCCTGCCTCAGCCTCAGCCTCAGCCTGCCTCAGCCTCAGCCTGCCTCAGCCTCAGCCTCAGCCTGCTTCAGCCTCAGCCTCAGTCTGCCTTCAGCCTCGGCCTCAGCCTCAGCCTGCCTCATCAGCCTCAGCCTCAGCCTCAGCCTGCCTCAGCATCAGCCTGCCTCAGCCTCAGCCTCAGCCTGCCTCAGCCTCAGCCTCAGTCTGCTTCAGCCTCAGCCTCAGTCTGCCTTCAGCCTCGGCCTCAGCCTCAGCCTGCCTCAGCCTCAGCCTGCCTCGGCCGCAGCATCAGCCTGCCTCAGCATTCAAAATGTGGCCCAGGAATGGAGTTCTGGGAACTAGAAGAACACGAAGTGGCCTACAGTTGGCTCCGGGCATTCAAAATCATGCCCAGGAATGGAGTTCTGGGAACTTGAAGAGCACGAAGTGGCCTACAGTTGGCTCCGGGCATCCAAAATGTGGCCCGGGAATGGAGTTCTGGGAAATCGAAGAGCACGAAGTGGCCTACAGTTGGCTCCGGGCATCCAAAATGTGGCCCGGGAATGGAGTTCTGGGAACTCGAAGAGCACGAAGTGGCCCACAGTTGGCTCCGGGCACTCAAAATGTAGCCCGGGAATGGAGTTCTGGGAGGTCGAAGAGCACGAAGTGCGTGACTGTTGACGAAAAACGAGCCCGGCTCTGTTCCCGGTTCTCCAGAATGTGGCCCGGGAATGGAGTTCTGGGAGGTCAAGAGCACGAAATGTGTGACTGTTGGCGAAAAGCGAGCGCGGCTCTGTTCCCGGTTCTCCAGAATGTGGCCCGGGAATGGAGTTCTGGGAGGTCGAAGAGCACGAAGTGTGTGACTGTTGGCGAAAAACGATTCCCGCTTCTCCTCCCCGGCACCCGCCCAAACCCCCCTGAGGAGTCATGATGCTCTCTTTTGACCCCACTAGAAACCTATCAGCAAACGCTGTTAGGTAATAGTATACACATGTTTTGAACATGCGTTTACTTGTTTAAGGCATGTCTGAAACATTTTTATCATCTGGAATTTATTGGGCAGTATGCTTCCTCTCCATGGATCGACTTCCACAACGCCATGGTCCCTGCTGAACAATGACCACCCTAACAGGGGCCGCCGGCAACCGAACACCCCGCCTGGTGGGCGGGTGGGCCACCAGCCCCCTCGACGTCAGACTCCGTCGTGGACATCCGATTCAATGTTGATTCGTTCTGTCGGTCCATCGACCGCCCTGTTTGCTGCCGCCGGCCCGCGCGGGCGCTCCTTGCTCGCGAGGTGGCCGCGCCGTCTTGCGTCGGAGATTTGCTGATGGAGGAGAACTGCAGCCTCCGTTCCTCGACTACCGGTTTTCTCCAGGGCTAGGGGCGGAGTCCCCTTTCGGCAGCATCTTTGGCGTCAAAGGGCAACCTCTGCAACGACAGCTCGGGGAGGCTCGACGTTGGCGGGGCTAAGGAGCGCCTGGTCATCCTCGTCCGCGAGGAGGCCGCGCCGTCTGGCGTCGGAGATTTGAAGGGGCCCTGGGACACACAAATGAATACACACAAATAACAAGATTCCCCATCTTTTCCCATACTTTCTGGGTTTTCATCTTCCCCCCCACTTCCCATGTTTCCCCACATTTTCTGGGGAATCGACGATCAATTGTGTCTGTGTGTTTTCGTTTCCCTCCTGACTGCAGAGCGCCGCCGCGGCCCGCTGCCGACGCCGCGCGGAGCGCGCAAGCTCCTGAGATCCCCGGGCGGAGCACGCAGGCGGGCTTCTGGGATGCCACGCCCGCCGGGATGGCGCAGCTCGACCCGACGCGGCGCCAAAAGATCAGGGCTGGACCTACACGGTGTTTTGGCGCTTTCGTGGGCCGTTTTCGTTTCGAGTTCGTTTTTTGCGGTAGAGGCGGATCGAAGACAGAACGAGTGAAGACGAAAACAAAACGAAAACGGAAAGCACCGTTTAGGTTCAGCCCTGCCTGGAGCAGAGCTAGGTCGGGCGTCCCCCTACAGGCAGATGTTGGGCGAAACATGAAAAAATACTGAACACAGATTGACAACAATGCTCAAAAAAAATCAGAAAATATACTCCCCATACTGATTGTTTGACTAGTTTTGAATATCCCTCCTGTAGAGGGACACGCCCGACTTACGAGTAGGAGCAAGGATCGTGGAATCGCTCGGTCCCCTGGGGCTATCTCCCGCGCGCGGTCAGAAACTGCCCCAGGAGGGGGGATCTCTCCAGGGTGCCTGAGGCTCCGAAAGGGAAAGAGGCAATAGAAAAAAAACAGGAACCCGAAGCGGCCCACCTAGAGCGTGAGTCGGACGGGGCCGAAATCTCCTCTTCGCGCAGGGCCTTCCCAGCGACGTCTTTCGCGGCGAATGAGGGCCCAACGCGCTAGACCCCCGCCGGGGGCGCGATTCCGTGACTTTTCTCGCGGCGGGGATGGCACCTCGGCAACGTGATACTCCGCGGGAGCCGCCAGGGTAATTCTTGGCCGAGCTGAAGGGGCCCCGCGCTACGCGTCAAAACCTAAACAGTAAACACAGAGCCCAGGAGGGCCTGCGCCACGCGCAAGATGCGCTGCCCCCTTTTTTTGGGCAGGCTCTTATCGCGGCCGTAATTCCCCGCCGCTTTGAACCTTTCATCGGGCGCAGCCGTCAAATCCTCGGCCGCCGCGTCAGCGCTCGCCGCGAAGGAGCTCTTGTCGAGCCCACTACCCCAGGGACGGGGGGGCCTTCCTCAGCACCCCCCTCAACTGGTATCGCCCAGGCTCGAGGAGGCTGCCAACGGGGACGGCGCGACTCCCCGTGGACACCATGCAACGCTCCCCGTGGGTTCCCAGTGGCCTGGGGAAGGTCCTACACGCACTAAAGGGAAAAGAAACAAATGAACCTGGCACAGACACAACCAGTCGCGCCTGGAGGAAGAGGAAGGAAGACGAGGGGAGGAGAACGAACTGAAGAAAACAGCTACGGTGGTGAGCCTCCCACCCCGGGGTTGGCGCAAGCGCGCGAGGTCGTGCGCCTTGGCGTTCCTGACCCTCAGCCGCACTGGTGGGGGAATCTTGAACGCTGCTGGAAACTTCTGGCGAAACGCCATTCAAGCCAGAACACAACATTAGGTCGAATTGCTGGACCAAATCCCAATCGTAATCATCCACGTCGGCGTCATCATCGAGACCGGAATCGCCTTCAACATCGTCTGCGTCGCCGTCGTAATCGTCATCTGCGCCGGGGGAGGGCAACCTATGGGAGTTTGTTTTGTCCATTGAAAACGCACAGAAAGAACAACAACAAATCGAGAACCAGAAAGGGGGCAATGTATACGAACCTCTGTAAAATCAAACAAACAATTGGACTCGAGCCACAGGAAGGGGGCAATCTAGAGGAATTCCGTAAACACACACACAGGAGTCGAACCCCAGGAGAAGGGCAAAATGTAGGAGCATACGCAAAACACACATTGGATTCGAACGACAGGAAAAGGGCAATCTATAGGAACAGGCGTACAACACGTAGGATTCGGGGCCCAGGAGAGGGGCAACCTGTAGGAACGTACAAACAGCACAACAGACTCGAGCCCCAGAAGAGGGGCCATCTGCAGGACCACGCGTGGAACATGCTCGAATCGAGCTACAGGACAGGGGCAACCCACAGAACCACGCGTAAAACACACGGGCTGAGAGGCCCAGCAAGGGGGCAATGCATAGGAACATGCGTACAGCACATCGGATTCGAGCCACAGTAGAGGGGCAATATCGATAGGAACATACGTAAACACACACACACGGCTGCGCAGCGCAGCAGAAGGAAGCATTTCAGGGGACATCAGGCTACAACACCATACAGTGGAGGCCAGCCCACAAGACACCTTCCGCAAGAAACCCAACCCTGGGACTCCAAGACGTCCATTGATTTTTGGTGTGGGAACTTCACGCTTTCCATAGCAACACCATCTAAACCCAGGGCACCCTGCGGCAAGCAGGGTGCTTCTTGGCATGGACTTCCACTGTAGTGAGTCGCACTTCTGAGCCCAATCCAGCCAGAACACCATAGCGAGTCTCATGCCTGGATCTGCAAGGGCTAAGTTCGAGCTGGAACACTATGTGATGCGCATCTCTGGGCCAAGTTGAGCCAACACACAAACTACTTAGCGCTGCAGGGATTTAGGGGTTTATGGGTTCGGGGGTTGGGGATTGGGGTTTTGGGTTCGGGGTTTGTGGTTTGGGATTTTAGGGTTTCAGGGTTTAGGGTTTTAGGGTATTAGGGTTTAGGGTTTTAGACTTTTAGGGTTTTAGGGCTTTAGGGCTTTAGCGTTTTTGAGTTTTCGGGTTTGTCTGGCACACGCCTCCCCCCAGCCCTACTTGTGGAGTTTCTGTTGACAGGAACCTTCGAACTCTGTTTACCCCCTCTAGCACAGTGCTATTGGGGAAGTGAGTGTCAGGAAGGGTGGATAAAGGCAAATCCGTTCAAAATCAATCCCTAGAGCCCTCCCGGGGTCCATCTGGTGTATTTTTTCACCCCGGATCGCCCGTGAAGGCCGAAGAAAACCAAACACCAACTCGAACTCAGCACCTAGAACCTGGCCCCCTTTTGTGCTGGCCAAAATCAATACTGGGCCACCTGAGACCCCCAGCCGGCTCAGCACATACACGGATCCCAAACACAAGATGGGCTTTGCTACGGTCGGGGTGGGTGTCCGATTGGCGTCCCCCGACACACAGTTCCACGGCATGGCTGGCTCTTAGTGGTTTTCTGAAATGGCAGGGCCGTTTTTCCGTAGCATTTCTAAACATCTTGATATCGAGAAAAAATATAATGAAAAAGTTCGCCGAAACGGAAACCACTCTGGGATTGAAGCCGGAGCCAGAAAACAAACGGCGACGGAACCGGAAAAAAGACGGCGCCAGAACCAAAGAAACAAAGGCACAACGAAAACGGATTAAAAGCTGCCCTGTTTTCCAAGAGCCATCAAGGACTGGCTCCGCAACACGGCCCGCTCCACGTCGTGACTGGCAGCTCCTACGGAAAAGCGCCTCCGACGGCGCCTACAGCACCGCGGCCCTGGGCCGCTTCTCCCTGCTCGGCAGCCCAGGCAGCATGCAGGGAATGTAGCCCTTCGCGAAGGAGTCCTGGTCCATTGACAGGGAGAGGGGGTCACCCCACTTGGTGGGCGCCCTCTGGCCGCCCTTCATGTTAGTGAACGGAAGGATGGGCGACGAGCGCGACCTCGGCGGCGAAATCCAATCGGCCCGACCGTCACAACCCCGATCGGGATCGAGGCGGAGCAAGATTCCGCAACGATTCGTGATGGATGGACACGCGAAGAACACCCGATGGGAAAATATGTGCGCTGTCGTGGTCGGCAAAAAGGGCTGGGCTCCCCTGTCTCCCTTACAGAATTCTAGATGTGTATATATATATATATATATATACTAGAAACACGCGCGCGCTTCGCGTGAGCTTAGGTTCTGTCGAGCCACAGACCCAGGAATCCTCCCCCTCCTCCTCGTTTTCCTCCTCATCCTCGTCCTTTCCCGAGCGATACAATAACAACTTGCGTGGAACCCCTCTCGGGCCCATCTTGGGGCTCTCTTGGGCCGCCTTTGGAGCCTCTTGGGGCGTCCTGGGTCTCTCGTGGGGGCTTCTTGGAGCTCTCTTGGCGCCTCCTGGAGCCTCTTGGGGCCGAAAGCTTGGAATTCTACAATGGCTTTCTCCCTCTGGGACCACTCTCGGGCACGCCTTGGGGCTCTCTTAGGCCATTTTGGAGTCCAATTTTGCCGTCCTGGGCGCCTCGTGAACCGTCTTGGAACTCTCTTGGGGGCCACCCAGGCCGTCTTGGGAGCCTCTTCGGACGTGTTGGACGCGGTGAAAACCCAGCAGGCGACCATGCGAAAAGTATACGTCTTCCCATAGGAATGGAACCATTTTTGCTTCTTGGACCTCTCTTGGGGTGCCTCTCGGAACGTCTTGGGCTGATTTTGGAAGCCTTTTGGCGCCTCTGGGCGGCGTTTTGGCGCCTCCTGGGATGTGTTGGGCCGGAAGCTCGTAATTCGAGAGTTAGGGTGGCTCAGAACTCACCCTGGGGGTGTCCTACCCCCCCTGTGGGGAGCGACCCCGCGAATCGATCCCCACAGAGCCCTGTGGGGATGTACGCGCGCGTGATAGCTCAATGTCATGAATATTGGTCTCTGAATTTCCATATGCTTGAGAATTCAAAACTATGATTTTGCGTGTGTGTGAAGGTGTGATGTGTTCGGTTTTCGTTATTCCAATTTTACGATTGACAGGTTTTTGCACATGCGTCGTTGCAAAATGGAGTGGTTCGCGCGTGCAGTTCTTGTGGATTCAGGATTTCGCAAATTCATATCTACAGGTTTCAAGCATTCACCACCACCTGATTGCACCCACACGGCGCTAGCGTACTGGCCAACATCCGTAAATTGTCACGTGCAACGTCCACCGTGTTGCGAAATTGGTGGTGCAACGTTCCGCGGATGAGGAGGAGGAGAAGGAGGGGAATAAGGGGGAGGAGGAGGAGGAAGAGGAGGAGGAGGAGGAGGCGAAGCAGCAGCAGGAGGAGGAGGAGGAGGAAGAGGAGGAAGAAAATGACGTTGTGGCTTCTCTGTTCCCTTGCGCTGCATCCTCCACTCTTTTCCCGTCCCGTCTCATACCCCCTCCCTTATGTTTGCCTCGCCTCCCCTCCGCTCCCATCGTCGCTCCCTTCACTATTCGTCCTCCCTGCGACCCATCGTGCCTTCCATTGCCTCACGCGCGTGCGTTGCTGGCGCATGCGCGCAGCCTTTTGGCTTCATGGCGGCTGCCGCAGCCTCCCTGGCGGACCGCCTGCGCCGCTTCTTCCAGCACGCGTGTGTGTGCCATCCTGCGCCAGATGCAGATGGCCCAGTCGTTCTTCTCAGACGGGATGCGATCTCGAGCGTGCTCGCGCCATGGATTGGAGCAACGGTGCCTGCTCGTCGCGCACTTGCGGCAGCTGTCCGTGGCAACGCTGCCTTCCTCTCCGTGCGCGAGAGCTCGCAGGTCGACGGGGCACCACGTCGCGCCCACGCCCCATGCCCCACCACGGCGCAACTCGCCGACACCTTGTCCAACCCCAAGCCCCACCTTGCTGTTATAGGGGGAATGCGTGCGGTGCGACGCGGTGTCCCGTCGGTCCCAAGGTTTCGTTGATTTCGCGTGTGTGCTGAAGGTGTTGCGCGACGGTGGCGTGCGCATCGAGCCGCATGCATGGGGCGCTCATTGCGTGCTCGCTCGCGCAGACGCCGTTGCACGGCATGAGCTCGAGCAGCAGCAGCAGCAGCAGCAGCAGCAGCAGCAGCAGCAACAGCGCGACCAGCACCAGCAACACCAGCACCAACACCACGAACGGCACGATCGCCAGCTGGTTGCAGTGGCGGGCGCCGCGCCGCCTGATGGCGGCGGCGCTGGCGCCGCGGCGCCGCCCGCTGCCCCTGGGCTCCAACTCGCGCTGCCGCTGCCACAGGCCGCGCCCCGGGGGGGATTCTGAATGCCGTCCTTCGTTCGTGAGCACGCGAGGTTGCGTGCGTTGTCATGCGCGCGCGTGCTCTGCGTTTGCCTGTCAAATTGTTTGTCTGCCAATGTTCTCTCTCTCTCTCTCTCTCTCTCGCTCTTTCTATACATATATATATAGATATACATATATCCGTGCCTCTCTCTGACTCTCTCTCTCTCTCTCTCTCTCCCTCCCGCCCTCCCTCTCTCTCTCTCTCTCCACCTCTCTATGCGTGTGTGCACATCCTCATCGGTCATGCCTCCTTACACCTTCGCCAATCCTCCGCTCCCCCTCATGCTCCGCATGCTCCCCCCCCCTCATCCGTTTCCTCCCCTTAGGTCTCATCCGTCTCTGCGCCCTCCGTATCCCACCGTGCCTTAGATCCCATATGCCCCCGCGCCCTCCTGCATCCGCAGTGCATCCTCGGTGCTCGTGCTCACCCCTCCCCTGGAGGCTGGGCGCTACGCGGATTTCTCGCTGCAGCAGGCGCTGGCGGTGCTGGAGCAGCGGGATCGCCAACTTGCGCAGCGGTCCCGTCGGACAGCCGCCGCGGGGAGGAGGGCGGAGGGAGTGGGAGGGGCGAAGGTATGAAGAGGAGGAGGAGGAGAAGGAGGAAGAGGAGGAGGAGGAGGATAATGAGGATCATGATGGAGATGAAGGAGGATGAGGAGGATGGGGGAGAAGGAGAAGGAGGAGGATGGAGGGGGAACGGAGGGATGAGGACGCCCAACGGAAGAGTAGAGTCATTCAGTCTTCCTCCTCCAACTCAGTCTCCTCCTGCTCCTATTCCTCCTCCTCATCCTTCTCCTCCTCCTCCTCCTCCTCACCCCCCTCCCCCATTCCTCCCCCCCTCCCCCTCCTCTCCGTTCCGCCGCGCTGCGCGACGAGAATGGGAAGCGCGTGTCTGGCGCGGTTCGGTCTCGGTGCGCGTTGGCACGCGTGGCGCATTGCCCCAGCATTGTCAGTGTTCTCTTGCATTCGCATCTTGTCTTCTAGTCGTGTGCCCTCATTCGCGCGAGGACCAACAATATGCGTCGACAGCGTGATCGTTGGAAGGCAACTGCTACTGGCCTGAGGAAGAAGCTTCGGATATTCAAGGCTGGGCAGGGGTGCTTCGCTACGGCAGGTGATATCGGTGTACTTCGGGCAGGGAGGAAGGGTGTTCGACTGACTCTCAGGAGTCGCATCGGGCTCGGCATCAGGAAGAATTTGGTAAATCTTGCATCGCGTCACGTAGGCATGCTTTTGTGTCGTGACATTTCAAAAGACACCGTGAATCGATGTGAGACGGTAGCAGGTGCTGCGCTTGTGGGATCTGTCCGTTCGTGGTTCGACACGGTGCGACGACGGTGGCGCGCCGCAGGTCTAGCAAGGCCGGCTTCGCTCCTGGGGCCCGATCATGCGCCACCCGTCCCCATCCTGGACGACGGCTCGCAATCGCCAGGGCTTCAGCTGGTCGGCCCATCGTCGGGCTCGTCGGGGGCCCCTGTAGTGCAAGTGGAGCGGCGGATGAATCTTACCGCGGTGCAGTGGATGTCCGATGCTACGAATTCAGCTATTTGGCAGCGGAGGAGCCTGCTGCGGGAGCTAATCACCACGACCCGTTCGGGCACACTGGCATTACAATCCTTGCTTCGCTCATGTTGCACATATATGCGTCAGCAACAGCAACAACAGCCGTCTCCGTAAGCGCCCAGGGGTATTGCATCCTGATCCTCCTTCTCTTCCTCCTCCTCATCTTCGTCCTCCTCCACCTCCCCCTCTCCTCCTCCTCCTCCTCCTCCTCCTCCTCCTCCTCCTCCTCCTCTTCCTCCTCTCTCTATCCTCCTACTCCTCCTCCTCGTGCACCTGTGCAACGCATCGGGGCGGTGGTGGTGGTGTGGTGGCGCTGTCGTCGTGTCTTGTTGCGTTGCCTTCTCACAGGAAGTTGCACAGCACGATCGTGGACGCAACGGTGTCTTGCTCATCCGATCCAGATTGGTGTGGACAATTCGCATCAGGTCGTACGCCATACCACAAGGTATTCTCTAGTACGCACGTGCTTGCTGACATATTGCCAGTCGAGGACCCACTCGGCGCGTGGAGGAGGAGGAGGAGGAGGAGGAGGAGGGGGAGGAGGAGCAGGGCTTAAAGGGAGAAAGAAAAGAGAAGGAGGAGAAGGAGGAAGGAGGAAGGGTGAAGAGGAGGGATTAGGAGGACGTGTCATAGGGCGCGTGGGCGGGCGTCCGCGAGGACGGCACTGCGCTGGGAGCTTTCACCATGATACGAAAGCAACTGAGATCCGTTGGGTGCTTGTCTTGGGACGAACTGCCGCCATACAAGCCAGGTGACGTGTGCCTTGAGTTGCGTATATTCTTGAATGTAACTGATGCTGGTTCGGACCAGCGCGCAGCGCGCAAACTTATGGCATCTGTGATCGGTGGCATCCCCTCTGCGCTCTATTTCGATGTGAACTGCATGGATCACCAACAACACCTGGTATGTAAGGGCGGACTGGTTGTTATAGACGAAATACTTTCAGAATTCAAGAAGCCGTTCAAATATTACACCTCCATTTGTAAGCTCACGAATGCGTGGCGGGATCTGGCAAAAACGGTGTATGCTGTGTGGGTTAGAATATTCGGGGCATCAGATGCAGCCGCCCATGCCCTTCACTTGCCAGCCAGGTGTGTCGCTGGTAGGTGGAGCAGCGTCA